TTTCAAACACCTATATTAAAGTTTAATTTAAAGGATAAAAGTCATGACTTCCCTTTTAACTACTTTCATTTTTTAAAATCAATTCTAGACTACAATTGTGTAAATTTACAGCCCCTGAAGACATTTAGTAATTACATGTATATCTATCTCTACTTATTAAAATGTTGTAAAAAATCCTTGGTTTTTTTTTTATTTCTCTCTGCTGAAAGTAAACAAAACAACAGGGAGCCTGCAAATTCAGAATACACAAGGGGCGGAGCTATCATGTCACTCAGAACCTTTTTCATGCATGAGTGAACAAAGCAGTCCCAGATAGCAGTCCCATGGACTGCTGGGACTGCTGGGTCTGCTTTCTAGAGCAGTCCCAGAGCAGTCCCACAGCAGTCCCAGAGCAGTCCCACAGCGGTCCCAGAGCAGTCCCACAGCGGTCCCAGAGCGGTCCCAAAGCAGTCCCGGGGACTGCTTTCTGGGACTGCTTAGGTGTCAGGTTGGGTCTGGTTGGTACTGTATGGGCCTCTATCGATTTGGAGATGATTAGAAAACTGTACACATCAATTCCAACACGATTACAAGCTGTAATAAAAGTAAAAGTTACATAACCAAGTATTAGTAAGGTAGGTTTAATTTCATTATATATCAATTTGAAAAAAAACAATATTCAAAACTACAAGTGTGCACGTATATTTTTATAACGGCGGCCATTTTGCGTACTGTATTATGGCCAGGTACTGTAGGTGCCAAGAGTCGCACGAACAGCAACCATACTCGCCCTGACATCAGAAAACTTTATATTACAGCGCTATGACAAAAGTATTCGCGATTTTTACGCAATGGGTCGCTCTCGCTGTGCGCTTCGCTCGTGGAACGGGTAATAACTCTTATTAAATGCCGTGTTGACATTCCATATTTTTACAGAGTTGTCTTCACAGTGGAAGTGACGTTATATCTATTTTTTTATCGTCTGCTGTCTGGAATTTCATGTAAACAAACGGGGATTACGATGGGTAGAAAATCGACAGAAATATCAAATGATGTCAAAAAAATAATTCTGGACATGAAAATGGAGGGGAAAAAACATCGGTAATACTGAATTTATTACAAATACCTGAATCAACCATCAGATCTATTTGGAAAAAAAATATTTGTCGACTGGTGAAGTCAGAACTTTGAAAAGAAAAGGACGCCCTCGGAAGCTGTCAAAAATGGATCAAAACTGGATAATTAGACATACTAAAACTAACAGAGGACGAGTTTTAAAGGACATTACTAATGAATTTAATGAAACCAGGGATGCTAATGACTCTGTTTACCCACGGACAGTCCAAAGAGTTTTGCGTGATCACGATTTTAAGCGACGAGTTGTAAGAAAAAAAAAGGTCGTTTCCGAGATCAACAGAAAAAGGCGTGTTGCCTGGTGTTTAGAAAAAAGAAAACTCACAGTAAATAATTATTGGAACACTATAATATTTTCCGATAAAAGTCAGATAGTTTTGGGAGAAAATCATGGAGTGTATGTGTGGAGAACATCTAAAGAGTCCTACTTACCACAGCGCATGTGCTCCCCTCGGCAGAGAAAGCTTTCGGTTATGGTGTGGGGATGCATCACCTACCACGGGGTAGGTACACTTTGCATGATTAATGGAAATATTAATGCAGTCAAATACACATCCATTTTAGAAGATCAACTTTGGCCTGTCATTGTCCGGCATTTCCTCAAAAAAAAAAACATATCGTTTTCAAGACGACAACACCCCCGTCCATAGAGCTCGTATTACTAAAGATAACAAACAACAAAATAATATTCCTACAATTTTTTGGCCAGCGCAATCACTGGACATTAATATTATAGAGAATTTATGGCTAAAAATCAAAAAGAATTCAAAATCGAGCTCCAAATATTAAGACTCCTGAAGAATTGTTCGATACGATTTTACACATCTGGAATTCCTTCGATGAAAACTATATCAAATCCCTGTACGAATCCATTCCCCGTCGACTATTAGCTGTAATCAAGTCTAAGGGCCATCTCACAAGTATAAATAAAGGTTAGTCCGTTAATTTTTTCATAATTTATTGTTTATTTTTACGAGGCACGTCCGCCATTTTGAAAAATCGCGAATACTTTTGTCATAGCGCTGTACATCAAAAGTTTTAATCTTGTGATACATTACAGGCATAGGAAATCATAAACGACTCAAATATCATATACTCATATCACTTTGAACACAAATAATGTAGATTAAATCCAGTTTATCATGTAAACTTGAAATATCAATACATCCAGTAAAATACATTAAACGGATGTAATCTATTTAAAGCAGTTACTGGATTGCTCCTGTGTTCAACCAACAAGCAGTTCTAGACTACTGCATATAATCATACTGAACATTACTAATTACGACTTAATTAATGTACTATAATTTCTGAACGTTTAGTTGACATATACTGCCTCATTGACGTAAACCAATAATAGTGGGTGTCCGAAACCAAGATTTTCTCGATTCGCACATTACCAGCAGTGTTAAGGCTACACCCAGATATCCTACTTGCCTACAATACGACGTCATAGTAAGTTGTATGTCGTGATCTTTAGAGATGATTTTTCAATATCTATATTTAGAGTTTAATTTCAGGTCAAAGAACTGAATTGAGTCATTCAAAAACATAATATAAACTCATTCTTGTCGTTTTATGTGGTATAAATAGCTAAATATTTATCACGGGAGTTAAATACCCAACTCTTGACGTCATAACTATTGATCAAATATTTGCCGAGTGAAAATTTAACGTGATGAGAATTCATGTAAACAAATATATGATATGGAAATTTCAAAACATATACCGTGAATGTCATGTGTGATTGGTAAGGAATTCAAGATTAAGAATCTGGTATGCTGATTAATTCTTATCATGTTTTCGTATAATGAACACAGGCAGTGTTTTGAAATCCAGATTAGCCTTTGTCGTTCTAACAAAAAAAGATGCAAAAGTTCAACACTACGCCGTATACTTTGAAACATAAATTCTGTTTGTATCGAAAGCTTGTATTCTGCAGTACTTGGAAAGTGCTGCTAGAATCGTGTAGTTAACATGTCCTTGATCGAATGTACAAAATGTAAAAATTTTGGTAAGGTTTTAAACGAAACTTTGGAATAATTTTTCTGTGTCTAGAGAATAGGATTCTAGCAGCACTTTTCATGTCCCAGTGATGTTTTTACATAATTATTTTAACAAAAAGAAATAAATTATCCCCGGGGTAGTGTTAAGGCAATTTCTCTATTTATAGACTCACATGATGACATCGTAGTGGAGTGCTTCTTTTAGCCTAAGGCTCAATGACGTCTATACTATGGATAATACAGTGGCTGCAACGTTATTGTTGACAAACCAATCGTGTAGAATCGTTCGTGTAACGTGCGTGATCGTTCGTGTAACGTGCGAGATCGTGTGTGTATCAGACTCAAACGTTTGCGGTTTTAATCGTGCGTGATCGTGCGTTAAGAAACGTGTAAATTTCGTTTTGTATGTTTTTATCGGAATGTTATTTGTTATACAAGCATTTCGCTTGTCTGTTTGTTTTTTTTTTTTTCAATCCAAATAAAATAAATGAAGCGCGATTTACATAATTGAAAGCAGAACGAACTAACTATTGCTTGGAAATAAGCAATATAGTAAGTCGTACAATATTGTGTTCTCGTCAAATAGCGTGATTTTTTGTTATAAACCGTACTTAGATGTTTAAGGATTTCTTTTCTCTGATGTTAGTTATGTTTACTGCTAATTATGGTCAAGATATTTTTAAAATCAATAGATCAAAAATATTTTTTTTTTTTTTTACAAATAAATAAATTAACAATTCTCAATGCTTACATAAATATTTAGTCGGCAAATGTTTCGTTCATCAGTGATTATCTCTGGAGCTTACTTCTAATTAGTATTATAATTTCTGCAAATAAAATTTGTAAAATAATTGATGATTTTAGAGATTTAAAAATGGAAACATGGATATAACTTATAATCTAATTCACTTTCATGCCATCTTTTTTTCAAACTTATCCCTTTCTGCATATTATGAAATCCAATTTAATCAAAACTCACGGTCCACCTACATGTACATCTTCTGAGAGAACGAAAAAAAAACAATTTTCTTAAGTCGGAGAATTACGTAAATAATTATTTGTAGTCTAAATAATTAATAAGTCTTACATGTATTTAGTTCCAGAAATATCCATTTCTATTTTTTTTTTTTTTCATTTTTTAAAGTTCATGAAATAATATCAATAATTTTTTGAAATCTAAAATAACTATTAAGCCTTATTTCGTTTTTGAAAATATCCATTCCTAAAGAATTTGAACTATTTTGCGTGAAGAACCGTGCGTTTGCGTTAGCAATCGTGTAAGATCGTGTAACGTGTAGAATCGTGTTGCGTGAAGAATCGTTCCTGTAACAGATTTTATCGTGCGTTAATCGTGCGGAATCGTTCGTGTAACGTGATCGTTCGTGTAAGTTGTCAACAATAACGTTGCAGCCATTGTAATAGTAATTTTTTTATCTATTGCTTTTCCGAAAAAAGTCTAAATTCGCCGAAATATGATCATGGTACTGCCTTAACATACCTGCAAATTATCCTACTGATATATTCCTTTATATTAAATTCGAATCACATTGATTACTTCAAGTTTAGAATGATCAGTATCTCATAATTAGTAGAACTGCACGATTTTCAGTAGCGTAAACGCAATAAGAAGTTATATGAAGTATCTATATCAGTTATTCCTATTTTAAAAAATATATTAGATTTAGAATATTTATATTTTTCAATTAGATACTAAAGAAACAGAAAATAAATATGATGATAAACTATTATTTAGAATATTTGAAATTGTAGCTATGTAGTATATTTTAAACTAAATAAACAACAAGTAGATATTCTTTTCCAAGCTCAGTATTTTAATACATAGTAGACCTAGTAGACCTAAGATTATTCTAAATAATATATTCATTTTTCTACTTGGTCTTGGGAGAAAAGGGCACCTAAAAATGGTTAAAACAATCATGGTCATTAATTTAGGATCTATAAATAGACCAATAGAAGATAATGCATTTATTTAAATATAGCTTCTATTTCATTAATTATATAAAAGAAAACATGAATTTGGAAAACATGAAAATAAACTGATGGCATAAAGTCACTGTTTGAATTGATCAGTTTGCAAAGATTTTACATTCAATTCTTTGTGATTTTCTTGAAATATTCAAATGAACTGTTACTAAAAATAGATACGATGTTCAAAAAATTTTTGTAAATATTCTGACTTAAACTTTTATGTAGAAAATTTTAAGCCACTTAAAAATTCTAAGTAGCAAACTTCCATTTTGACGATTTTTAAAATTTTGCATGGTTTTCTCGCAGACTGGCTCTTATGAAGACTTTTGCCTGAAAGGGTAATTTTTATTATTTCTAACAGCGGTATTTCAATTTTTTATGTTCGTTGTGCTTCTTACTCAGAAAAAGGATTAAGTTTTGGCATATTACATCAAACTCTCTCTTATTTAGAAGATGTCATGAATACTAGTATGGTATTTTCTTTTGAAGTAATTTTGTAATCAGTAACATAAAAAAGAATACGTAGTACCTTCCCTGAATTGTACCAGTCCTCCTTTCCTTTGCTCTAAAACACTTCCTAAATTGATGAGGTTTTCGCTTTCATCTGAAAAATAATGTATCGTTCTGCTTACATAACTTTAAAATTTCTACATCTGCAAGTTATCACTGGGGAATAGCATAAATGTGTTTTATTGTAAAATGTGCATTCACCTCTTTCAGAATTTTAGAATATGTTCAAAACTGTGTGAATCCACCTAGTGCCACATTTTTATAGTTTTAGATTTTCGTCTTTTCAAAGACTATTTTAATCTTTTAATAGGCTTGTGTAGTTTTCTTCAATTATCTATCCTTTATGTATGTCCATTCTTGATATAAGAAACACTAGAGAGAGCAAATCGTAACATTCCAATGTACCTAAAACACAGTCAAGCGGAACTATACCTCAGTATAGCACACTTTCTTCGAGGATAAGAATAACTCACTATGTGTTACTCGATACAGGCATACTCGGCTGCAATTAGCTACGATGTATACATTCCTTTGAATTTAATCGCATTGGTTTTATTCCGTCTGTACTACTAATAAATGCTTGTCTGTGTAATATGTTACGTATTGCTTGTATTCATTGAGCTATATATATTTAGAATAACATAAATGTACATTTGTACTGAGTCAATGTTCTAAACTCAGATCTTAAGTTTTGAATCAGTAGGGCTACATATAATAAGTAAATGCATTCCCTTAGATTCCTTTTTATAATTTGCATACATTAATGGCATGCTTTAATAATATCCAACGGAAATGGTTCATGAAAAACAAATTATTACATTCATTTAGCCTAAAGTCATTAACCGGAACGGAAATCGTTAAGCTTTTTGTACAGACAAAAACCAATCCCTATCCTAAAAGTAGTACTAGTACACATGTAGGTCAGATCCCTATTTATACGAGGGGTGATCAAAAAGTTCGCGAACTATCTCTATATTTAAAAAACCCCAATTCAGACCAAAATGAAAGAACTATATACGGTAAGGGCGTATTTCTGCCCCCATAATAGTCAAATTTTGAAAATCTCTTGAAATGAGGAAAAAGTGCATATATTGTATAAAATAATCCAAATTAAGACAATATATTATGAAATTGGAAAAATTAGTTGGCTTTTCTTGTCTCTGTGACGTCACAAACTATTTGGATTTCCGTAATTTTTAAAATAGAGGCCAAAATGCGCAGAGTTTGTTCAATTTTGGCTATAGTATTTATAGAGCGCAAGCTTGCTCAGGTACCATATTCACATATTTCATTGATATTATCAATCTACACTTTATATCGAAAGATCTAGTCTGAGCAGACCTGCGCTCGATAATTTCCAATCAAAAAACCGACGTAAAATACGCTATTTTCTCTCAAAATCATTGCAATTTGGAATTTACGTCATTTTATTGACGTCATATCTAACTAATGATGTCATAGTTGATAAAAATATTTAATGCTTTGAAGTCTGCAAATATCCACCTGGTTTAGAGCATAATTAAAGATTTCTCCATCAAAGTTTTATTTTGGGGGCAGATACTGGCCACTACAGAATATAGTCCTTTGGCACACATATAGTCATACACATGTTCTATAAATAGCAGATGTTAAATAATGTTTTCCTCTGTGTTTGTGACGTCACAATGTGAAAATGACGTCAGTATGTAGGTCACTTGTGACAAAAAATGGTTGACTCAGTCGTACTCGAGAAACGAACGGCTGTAAAGTTTAACGTATATCTCGGAAATTCCTTTACAGAAGAATATAATAGTTTGTACAAGGTTTATGAAGACAAAAGACTTACCAGAAGTTCAATTATTAATTGGATTGAATGTTTTAATGAAGGCAGGGAGATGGTTAAAAATGATGTTTGTTTTGTTGCCGAGCGAAAGCAAGCCGGTAAAAAGATGTCTCATTAGTTGAGCAGTTTGTTTTGAAAGATCGCCAAGTTACAGTAAGAAAAATAGTTGAATATCTGAGCAATAATATAATTATTAAATCCCTAAAATATCGTTTACTTTAAACTTTAAACATATGAGATATGAAAAAAAAGAAGGCGCCCATACTTTTTTCACATTGGATAAACGACGCTCCCGAGACAGAGGACTCAAGTTGTAATGATCACCATGCAAATTCTGGGAAGGAATATTCTTATCCACCCATCCTATTGCCGAGATTTGGCCATTTCTGACAGATGGTCTGTTTTTGTTATAAAAAATTACTTGCATGGTAAGAAATATAAGACTCGAAAAAATCTCTTAGCTTCTGTGAACAGACTGCTACGAAGCATGTCACGTGACCACCTGGATCACGTGATTCGCGCATGGTCAGAACAACAACAGATGTGCATTAAAATCGGAGAGGACTACTTTAAAAAATAATGAACACTGGAATCTCATTTTATTTCTTTTAAGGAAGTAATTCAATTAGTTCGCGAACTTTTTGATCACCCCTCGTATAAAAGTGAACCTTTGGACAATTACAGTAATGGCCATTTTTACTGACTATCATGAAAGCTTAGACCACTTCTAAAATAGAGATAGCTGTGGACTATACAGATGACGTTTTAAGGTACGAAAGGAGCGGATCTCCGTAGTTCAATAAGTTTTATCTTTAATCTTAAGGCTCACTTGTTAAAAAAAGAGGAGATCAGTGATCCAGATCGCTCACCTCAGCACTTGAATACAGAAAACGAGAAAAGTTCAATATTTAGAGATTAAATGTATTGTGGTCCAAACCTACCCCAAAAAGGGAGGGAGCATGATTTGAACAGAATTGAATCAACATCAACTGCGGATGTTTTTATATATTTTTTACATATCATGTCTTCAGAATATCTTTTCAAAGATTTTCTTCTGTATATTTCTATGTAAAAGTTCGATCTTCTTTTTTGTATTGCCGCCCTATATCCCCCAGAGGTCATGATTTGAACAAACCTGAATCTACACTACCTGATGATACTTCTTTATTAATATAACTAACCATGGCTTTGCTCTTTTCGAAAAGAAGACTTTATTTCTTAGATATTCTATGTACAACTTTTATCCCCTGTTTGGCTCTATCCTACCCTAAACGAGACAAAATTTGAACAAATTTGAATCTACACTACCTAAACATGCTTCTGCATTTTTAAGAATAATCATACATGTAGCTTTGTCTTTCTTGATAGGAAGACTTAGATATTTCCTATAAATTCTTGTGTATAACTTTTATCCCTTGTTATGTCATGTATCTCTCCTTGAAAGAGAGCTTAGTCCTCTATTTAAACAAATTTAAATACCCTTCATCCAGGTTGTTTTTGGCAAGATTTCAATTTCTCTATGGTTCTTGAGAAAAAGTCGGAAAAGTGTTACGTTTCCAAACAAAACATGACACACGACAGGCGGACAGACAAGTACGGACAGGGGACACTATTGCATTGGAGAAACCCGCTTGGGCTTCTGTTCAATTTTGCTAACAAGATATCAAGAGGTCACAGTTTTACTCCATATATTCTTTTGTAAAATTCTGATCGTCCATTGTAGCCCTACCCCCCCCCCCCCCCGGGGGACATGATATGAACAAATTGGAATCAACACCATCTGAAGATGCTTCAACATTACGATTAATCATGCCTTTGCTGTTCCTGAGCAAAAAATATTTAACGATTTTTTTCTGTATATTTGTATGTTAATCTTTGAATGTCTTTGCGGCACCACTCTACTTATAGGGGTAATTAAATCTACATTTTGTAATGTTGCTTTCGGATAAATTTTTACTCGTTTGACCCAGTGGTTCATGAGAAAAAAATCTTATCAAAGACTTTTTTTTCTAGTATGCTTGTGTGATCACCTATTGTTGCTCAATTCCATCCCCAGAGATCGAGATTCGAACAAATTTGAATTTACAATATAAAAAAACCTTTCTTCTAAGTTTCAACTTTTCGGGCTAAGTTGTTCTTGAGGAAAATATTTTTAAAAGACGTAATAGTTTTTTACTTATTCTTAATTTTCTCCCCTCAAAATATGGTGTGACTTTTCACTTGAACAAAGCTGAATTCCCTCCCCCAAAGGATGCTTTATGGTAAGTTTGGCTGAAATTGATCCGGAAGTCGAAAATGTTTACAGACACACGGACTGTGGACAAAATGTGATCAGAAAGTTTACTTGAGCTTTCAGCTTGGGTGATCTAAAACTGATAAAGAAGACAGAGAGAGCAAGAAAGAGAGAGACCGTGTTTATTACATTTTTAACAGTGAAATACTGTAATTTATTTACTGAATAAAAGAGATATTCTGACAGAGTGTAAAAGGATATCAAAATGGTATTCTCACAGTGTGAAGATATCAGAAGTGCGGCAAGACTTACGATTCTCCTTCTCTTCAGGAAGAGTGTTTTTAAAACAAAATCCCTGGCTTGTTATAAGAAAGAGTGAATGAGCCATCCTGACAGAGACAAATAGTTAAACTGCCAAAGTTTTTTCCAAATATATCGTCAAAAATCCATGTTTACAACGTTTTTCAATCTTCAATCGCTTAGCTATGACGTCTCAACCGCTCAACTATGACGTCACAGCCTATAAGGCTGTGATACGAAAAGACAGAGGCAAAGAGAAAAATCTAAGAAAATGTAATAAACAGAAAATTCAATGTTTTGTAGACGAATATGGAATAATTTCACTCGTGAGAAAGGATTTTTTAAAATATTTTCAATTGTGATTCACAGTCGTGAAAATATCAAAAAATCCTGTCCCACTCGTGAAATAAATTCCGTATTCATCTACAAAACATTGAACATCCTCTATTTATCTATCACCTTCCCTGATTAGTAAAGTGTCATGTCGAGTAAAATTGTGTACATGTACAATGGTAATGTAAGTATATCTTCAACGAACATTTTTTTTTTACCCAAATCGAAGCATATTTCAGACAGTATTTTTTTTTTTCGAAAAAGCTTTGTTTTTTTTACCCCGAACTACCTAATTAAAATTCTTAAATGAAACAAATTTTTCATTTCATTTATATAATTTGTTTAATCAGTTTAACTATGTGCTGAATTACACTGCATTTCAGTTCATAAGCAATATAAATAATTTAGTTCTTATAAGATTTTGTTTGCATGTGATTTATCTTAGAGAACTCTCTCAGTTTGCATAAATTTACCTGTGATTGCGACTCCTTGTTTTCTTTTTCTTTTCTTGTACCAAAATAGAAAGAGAAGGATAGCAAGAGTCACTACTAACGATAAAGTGATGGCCGCTATTGCTCCAGCAGGAACCTGACCAGTTTCTGTTACTTCAGTTGTATTTGTAAAACCAAGTGTAGTAGCAGAGTAGTTTATTGTTGCATTGGAGGCCACAAAAACGTTGTTTCTTGTTGTCATCTCTGGATCTCTATAACATTTTTTTTTTTAAAAACTTTCGTTAAAAGATTGATCTGTTTTGGTAAATATAATACTTCAAATGGTTGATTTAAGAATTTTTTAGCTCTCTTTCGTTCATCTTACATCTTGGGACATTTTGGATCTGCATAAAAGCACCGCTTTTCTCTGTTTATTTGATGACATGCTGGATCTATTTAAATATATAAATCAAAGAAACTGAAAAGGAATCAGCATAATTTGAAGATAATTTGATTTTGCATGAAAGAAAACTAACAGGAATGAGTATAATTAAGAATATAAAACAACATTTCACATTCAGTTTTGTTTAAAATGCACACACATTGATAAAGATTAGAGCTTTTGAAGTTTGATGTGGTACAACCCTCCGAGAAGCTGCTACAGCTGATGATATCTACAATTCCTTCATCATTTACAACCAGACAGGAGCCTGTATTGAGAAAGATATAGAGTGAATAAAAAATGGAACATTGATTTTAGTTTCTGTATCTGTTAATTACTAGCGTAAATATTTTATTGTTTCAATAATGATAGAAAAAAGTTAATATATTTGAATCATATTTTTTAAAATAAATTCAACGGCGAGCTTTCAGTAAATAACAAGTGCATGATCTTCCAGTAATGTATCCAGAACAGTAATTTTTATTAGTCAAAATTACTACACATTTATGCAGATTTTATCCAGTAACGCTATAGTATTGCCTGCAACGGCTAACTTGGAACTTGGAACTCTTTTTCTATACAATTATTATTACATGTAAAGGAAATTTTTTTATCAAATTCCAAATTTATCTGACAGGTTTTGTATGTAATGAAATATGTTTTCCAATACAAAATTAGAAAACCCTTCCAGTAAAATTAATTTTTGTTATATGAATTTACGATTATTTTTTAATCATATACATGTGTCTGATATTTCAAATCCAAAGTCTCTACATATAATTCAACATTTAATGTACAATATCCATTTTCATGTAAGCAGTGGATATTCAATTACCACCACCGCCCCACCTCTCTTTGATGGTTTGAATGTCATATAGCACGGTGGTATATACTACGCAAACCTGGCATTTGAAGTCCTACAGTGCCGTTGTAGCAGTATTCCACAATGGCTGTCTTCCTGAAATTAGGGACACAGAGGTATTGACTATTCCCGAATTTGTCGACACCGCATTTCAGCCTGGAAGCTGCTTTATTTTGTCCCGTTATGTTAACAGGACACGATCCAACGACATATCCGAAGCCAAGGTAGTCCATACCTGGTTATAAAGTAAATAAATATTTGATTCCACCGGGTATTTGTACGTAAAATATTTTTTGAATATCAATAGTAAAAGAAAAAGAAGTTAAGGCGAAGATTAAAAGTTAAACGTTAAGATCAAGATCATGGGGTCAATTATCATAATTCAGCCTGAAGTGTCTTGTCACAAGTAATGCAAATTTGAAAAAAAAAATATGAAAGTCCTGTCTCCCTCTTCAGGAGCAAACGTGGCGACCAAAGTTAAAATTTTAGATAAGATGGTAAGTCAAAAATGACAGTGCTATCTGAAAAGTACTGTTAATTATCGGTAATATATAGAACAAGTTGCTGTCCTTTAAAAAAGGACTGCAATACGTGGACCATATGCATGTGTTTCGAAACGAAATTCAAAGAATTTTTCTAGATTTAGTGAGTTTACAAAGGTGTAATTAAGTTTAATCTTTTTTTCTAATTTTCATCGTTATTTAAGTCTGCTTATAATTAGGCTGTAATGATAAGAAAAATCATGACCTTGAAATGATATGAATATGAAATGTTACGTTGTTCTAGGTATCTATCACAATTGTAATTTAGCCTTTAAAATTAACAACAGAATTAAAAGAGGCTTAAGCGTGCAGGTATCGTAATCTCCATTGGCGTATCCAGGGAGGGGGGTCGGGTGTTGGAACCCCCTTTATTTTTGCAGAAAGAGGAAGACAGAATGTTAATTCTGTAATATATACATTTTTTTTCATCTAGTATTTTCAATAAAATATGAAGTACTTCAATTTCTGCCCTTTCTGCTCTCTAGATCGAGTTTTGCTTATTGCTTCCTCCGTGTACCTTCACAATACCGGTCCCGGGCCTCGACCACCCACATGTAACATGAAATATTTCACTTTGATATCATCGGAAGATTCCAGCGAACGAACGTACGGCTATGCCATTTTTGGACAATCTTCTAAAGTAACTAACTTTAAGAAGTATGCATAAAAAGTCATGAAAGGGAGTATCCATAAGAGAATATTATCCTTTACAAAAATTTTGATATTTCTTAATAGGCAAAATTTGTACATGACAAAAAATTTTGATATTTCTTAATATGCAAAATTTGTACATGACAATTAATTGTCATGTACAAATTTTGCCTAAGAAATATCAAAATTTTTTAAAGGACAATATTTATCTCCTTGTATTATGGGGATATTTTAATCAATGTAGAGAAAGGTTCAAAATGTTTTAATCAATGAAGAGAAAGGTTCAAAATGTCCCGTAGTAGGTGGGGGAGGGGGGCTCACTTTTTCTTTAAAAAAATCTTTTGTTAGAATTTTAATATATAAGTTTTAATTTGCATTGGAAGCTCCCCCGCACTTTTTGTTGCGGAAAGGTTCAAAATACAGAAAATCAAACATTTAAAAGAAATCAAAATGTAACGAAAAGTTAGACGAAGTCCCCCTCCCTCCTAAATAGGATTTTACAGGGTGGTGAACAGGTTGTTAATTTATTTATTTATTTCTGCTTGTCAACTCGTTTAGAAGGTTGCCCCCTTTGAAAGCCGTTGCTACGGGCTTGAATGGAAGTGCCTGTGGTGTGACTTAGACCCCCCCCCCCCCTTTACTAAAGGCTCTCGAGTTAACTTAAACAATGCTAAGTTATCGATTAACTCGATCAATTTAAAAACACACACACAAAAAAAGATTACTTTTGTGTGTGTGTGGGTTTTTTTTTCTCTGTCTCTTTTAAATAACGGAATGGTTGATATACAACACCTGCAATTGTAACTTCTCGGCAGAAGGTCTGAGAAGATGCGATTGACAATCTTATTGCACGTGTGTATACCTAGGCTATTTGGTCTTGCAAGCACAGGTGTGTGTATTGTTTGCTAGTGACGCTTAGACTGGTGACGGTATTTGCTACAGACATGAAGAACTATACACCAGTTTCATAACATGTACAGTTTTTTTTTCTAGTGAAAATTGGAGTAAATTAAAAGTCGAATATTTTGGATATGGGGTAACCCATATCTATTCTTGTTACAACGATCTTCAATGCATCCATGGACGAGTTCATTGGTTACTCTGAAAGATTGCACAGGTTTACTTTTAGTTAACATTTTCTACAATGATCTGCCTACTTTGAGTGATTGTACTTTCATAGCAAAGTTGTTAAATATTATTCCCGATTGGCCTATAGTTTTGTCATTTAACTGAAAAAAAATCCGGCTATTTCGATACATGTAATACTTAACGGCTGGGACTTGACATCTGTACTAGATTTATACGGAAGTATCCTATCATTGGAAAGATAGATGGTACACGTGTAGCACAGATCTTCTTTTTTTTTTCTCCCTCTCCCCCACATGGAAAAACATTGCTACAGGCCTTTATTAAGCTATATTTGGATTGCTGTCTATCAAATTATTTTGCAAATCTTGATGCACAAAACTAACGCCGGTAAACATGGCAAAGACTATCTGTTAAAACCTAGTGGTTTTAATTCAACATGTTCAAGCTGTTAAGCTATCTCTATAAGTTCTTCCTACTTATTTAAAAGCTTGTACCATAGAATTTAGTTTGCATATAAGGTTATATGTATTAAAGAGAAATTCAGATCTTGGTTACGCCAAAGAATACATGAATACGATGTGCAGTTTTTTGAGCGAGGTTTGCCAATGATTGGCATATTCTAATTCGTAGAGGGCGAATTGTTTTACGGGCAAGTTGTCTTAGAGGAGAACTCTCTAGCATCCTCGCGCATGCGTAGCCTGACGTAAGCCCATGGCATCCGGTTTAAATCCGCTAATATATTTTCTGCGTGGACCTCAGGGTCCACGCAATAAAAAATATGAGAGTTTATTTTTTTCTCATTATAAAGTATTTGCCAATGTAACATAAAAAGACTATAGGTTTAACGTCAAGATTACGGTACGTATCATATATATATATATATATATATCCCAAGTATTCCTCTTAAAAAGAAAGCAAAAATGTCGATTTTTTTTCATCAGGTCAAACTTAGAGGTCAAGGTCACGGGGTCAAATATGTCTGAAAATTTAGAAACTTCTTATCTTCTGTCATTCAAAAGTTTTTAACAAGGTTAATATTTTTAGTAAGGTCAAATTCAAGATGCTCAAGGTCATGGGGTCAAAAATCAAAGCATGTTCAGAAACATCATGTCAAAGATTATGGTCATATCAAACATGAATGATTTATCTTCTCTCATTCAATGTTATAAGCAAGGCTTAAATTTTTAAAAAGGTCAAACTTCAACGTCAATGATCAGAAATCATAATTCAATTTGAAAGGTTTCTCGCAGAAAACGTAGATTTAAAACAAAATTTGAAAGCCGTATCTCTTCTCATTCAAAATTTAAAGTAATGTTAAACCATGTGAAAAGAAGGTCAAAATTCAAGGTCATGGGATCCAAAAGCAGTGTAAATTTTTAAAGGTCTTGTCACAGATAAGGTACAATATGAATTATTAAAGCCCTATTTTTTCTCATTCAAATGAGTTGACCGAGGCTTTTGTGACTGACAGACGAGCATGACAGACAGACTGAAAGACAAATGCAATTTAACCCCCCCCCCCCTTTCGCTTTAGCGGGAAACAGTTAGAACAATGGTATCGGTAACATTATGAATATATCATAAAATGCGATATTCTTCTAATCCTGCAAAGAACAACTAATGTCATTAACAATCTCTGTGGGCGGTGCTCTATGAAATATGGATATTACGAACAATTATCAAGCTCAAAAGAGCATATATATTAAAACAGTACAAATCGGGAGAAGAGCAAACACGGACCTATAGAAGCATCAGAGGTGGAATAAGGTGACATGGAGGAGGAAGCATCCCCTGTCGCTCGGTCATACTCGTCGTGTACTCTTATAATGATCGGGTAAATGAGAAAATCCGTAGACAATTCAGTGTGTAAATAATGGCTTAACAGTTAGTATGGAAAACGTCAGTAAGCATTCGACATAATGACATAGATTCATTTGTATTTTCTAACAAGGTCATTTTACACAACTTGCGAGAGGTTGAATTCAAACAAGACTCTTGATATCCTTGTTTCATCAACTTTGTTTTTAATAGCATACCTCGATATATAGAAATTGTTTGTGTGTAGAGTATCAAACGAATCAAATGATCGAATCAAATGGGACACATAAATTCTAAATGCAGATAATAAGGATATATTGCTACTTAAATTAAGGAAGTTGACAGTAGAAAAGCTAAAATATATCTTACTCTTACAATTATATCAGTATGATAAAACAAAACGAGGATTTAAGGGTGTAAGTTAAAATTTATCTTAGTGTTGGTCGGTCTACAAATTGTAAAATTACTACAGTGAGAGTAACACTTGAATCACGGTGTCAGTTGACAAGAAAATTGACAGGTGATACTTACGACTCTTGTCAGCTGGCAAAATGTATCTATGTGCATTTATCTATGTGTGGTGAATAAAGCTAATGAAAAACTTTTGGTTAGCATAGATTGATGTGGTTGTCTACATAAAAAATACTGCAAAAGTTGACTCATCGATAAATTGTTAAATCTTTTTTACTGTAAAAAAAAAACAATCTAGACGCCCACTTCCGTCTTTATCTAAAGAGAATTCATCCTAAGTAGTTTACAGTAAGATATATTCTTAATTCTTCATATGCATATAAATATATTTGTCTTAAAATATAGCGGAATATTTTTATATTACCCGACTGAGCTTCAGAGGCGTTGTCTGCAAGTAAAGATTATAATGTCTTCAATGGCGCTTCTTCCCCATATTTCATTCACCTTGATTTTTTTTTCTTGATTGCCCGGATTTCAATAGTGACTGCACCCGTTACCTTATTCGCCGTCTACCTTATTTAAAGGGGTATTCAGATTTCAGATTACGTAAAAAATCTTTTATGTAATGAGCGGTTTTAGAATAGGTGAAGTCAGACACAATTTAAAAGGAAAGCAGAATTATTTGACTAATGATGCATTAATATATTATTTATAAACAACTATACTT